AATTGGTCAGTCCTGGGGAGTAGGAGAGGAGGTGGGGGCAGGGGGATTCCATGGAAGGAGGATGCTTTCTCATTTCGACAGCCCTATAAAGACCTTCCTCCATCAGAAAAGTCAGGGCAGTTTCCTCTAGACATTAGTGAACATGTCCCCAAGCCCTCCACTGGGAAAACCAGCATGGGAACAGCACAGACCCTCAAGTGGCAAGACGTTGGATTTAAAAACTCAGTAAGAGGATGAGCCTCCCTCTGAGTTTGGAGTCCTAGTATCCCACCTGGCTGGGATACTAAGCAGGAGATATAACACTAGAAGAAAATTGACTTGCTGGTTCTTCCATGCCACCCCTAGTCCCAAATCACAGCTTGTATCCAGGACATTGTCCCTGTAACCCTCCAGAACTTCAACACAGTAGTGCCACGGCCCACCTGTCGGAGGGGCTTGACGCTGGGCCAGCAGCCTGCCTGGGAACCACAGAGAGCAGCTCCGGTGGTTTGGGGCTTGCCCTTCCAGGTGCAGGAAGAAAACTGGGCTGGGGGCAGGGACCTCTGGAGGTCCCCGTTGTCTAAGAGGTTATGTCCGTGTGCTTTCCTCCATGAGTGGGACGCTGTGGGAGGCAGAAGTTGCACCCATCCCACCGATGGCATAGTGGACTCAAGTTCAAGTGGAAGCTGGAATTAGTGGGAACCCAGGTCCGCCAAGCCCATGTTCTTTTTGTTAGCTCAGCTGACCCAAAGTGCATTTTTCCCATTTAGCAACTCTGGGAGCATTAAAAAGAGAATCTCCGCTGAGTTCAGGGAGAACTTCCTTAGTTTTCCCAGGTGCGGGTCCCTACCCTAGGGGACAGCAGTGCTGTGTGCAGTCCAAGCCAGCACTCTCTGTCTCCTGGGCTTTGGGAAGTACCATTTCCCATCTTCTTTTTTAGCAGATCCCTTTTTTTCCCCCCGGCGTAGGCATGGTCTTGTTTTTCCCCCCTAGTGTATCTGGTCCTAGAGCTGTAGATGGCCAAAGTCCACGCTCTCTGGCTACAGTTAGGGAGGGGCCGGTCTAGGATTCGAAATGAATGAGGAAGAAGTTTGGAGTCTGGAATGAAGGAACACAGTGAGGCTTCCCACAGGTCTAGAACAAAAATGTTTTCTGTGTGTGCCACACTTCTTGGTGTTCAAAGCCCTTTCTTTCAAATCCCATTATTTTTACAACCGATCTTTACAATAATCAGATTGGCAGTAGATCAGGGATCACTCAGGTCCCCGGAGAAAAGGCCGTTTAAGCCTAACCAATTTGCAAGGGACTGTTCTAGAATCAGAACCCACTCTTCTGACTCTTGGTCCAGAATGACTTCCATGTTGTTATCCTTTAACCAAATGTCCTCAGAGTAGTGGGTGTGCAGTTACTTCTAAGGTAGGGTTCCAAACTGTGTGCAAGATGAAAACTATGTCTAGTCAGAATTACCCCTGCCAATCCTTTTAACGATTTGAAAACTGGCTGTAAAGCATAGTGTACAGTTTGTGCTGTGATGTATCCAGAAGCGTGCTTATCGGACCTCCACTTAAACAGTGGCCATGCCGATGGACGTAACTGTATTCCTTCTGCAAAGCACAAATGCCCCTGGTACCCTAAATACTGAAGGTGGCAGGCTGCTTCCTACCAGGCCGGAACACTTCTGCTCCTGCTCTGTAGTTATCACTGTTCCCAAACTTGTTTATGCCAGTCGTGCTTTTTATATGTAGTAATTATATAATTTAATGAAATACGATGTAAGTGGATAAAATAAGAGTGGAGAAGAATAGTTCTCTCTCTGAAAATTACAGTGCACGCTTTGGTAAAGGAAAGTGGCAAAAAGTGAAAGAGTGTGTTGCGTTAGTCATGGACAAGAACTGTAAAATATTAGGAAAAGATAGTATCTAAGGTTCTGCTGTTATATCAATCTGTAATTTCTACATGTCCTCACTTTACTTTAAAGAAACAGGCCAGGAACAGGGTGGCTCACGCCTGCAACCCTAGCACTTTGGGAGGCCAAGGCGGGAGGATCGCTGGAAATCAGGAGTTTGAGACCAGCCTGGGCAATGCAGTGAGACCCCATCTCTACAATAAATAAACAAACCAACAGAAACTGGAAAGCACTGATGCTGCATTATGGGTGTGATTTGTGTAAGACAGACAATAATAAGAGCTCCATACTTTGAGCCCATTCTCAAAAAAAAGAATAATGCAATGGCTCAAGATCAGATTGGCAAATGAGTTTACATTTGTGTGTTTTAAGGAAAAATAAAGTATATATAAAGTATATAAATGCCCTGCTTTAACTGTGTTTTGATCAGTTGAGCAACCTTTGTATGAATAAATGTCTCATGTGCATTATATAATAATGTAGATTATGCAGAATAAATATATCATTGAATGGCATTACATACACTATTAAAATTATTTCTCCTTCACGCTCTTATTTCAGTCCATATGACTTAATTTATGTCAGATAAAGGTGGCAAAATGCAACACCACTGCATTCATAAATTCAGCCATCCAAGGCTTAACTCTAACCTTGGGTAGATTAACTGGGTTAGGGCCACTGCAAAACAGTGTGTTTCTCCTGGCATCGAGATGCTGGCTTTGTAGAAATGAACATAAGAGTGGTCAGGGAGCTGGCCTTGAACTGTCAGAGAGGCAGCGACTGTCTCTAGAGCCACACTCCTTAAGTACAAAACCTGTCTCCGCGGCTTCCTGGGGGCAAATCACTTAAACTGTCTCTGTTCCGGGTTCCCTCCTAGGGGTTGGTCACAAAGATTGCGTAAGTTAATAAACGTAAAGGGATCGGAACAGTGCCCGGCACAGCGTGAATGCCATGGAAGTGTTAGCTATTGCTAGTATCAGTATCAGTATTATTCACTGTCATTTGCATCATGCATCTGAGAAACTCTTATCCTGAAGTTTAAACAGAATAGTGTGTTTCACGTGAAGGCGCGAATGTCCACTCACCTGTGAGTTCAGAGAGCAGACAGGTTGGACTTCGACTCTCTGCGAACGCAGGGCACGGTTAAAAGAGGCTGTGTGGGGAGGGATTGTTGGGGCACGATAGCGGGATAGGTGTCCCCATTCACCTTCCAGGGAGGAAAAGAATGAATGTTGCTTCAAAACTCCAAAAAAAAAAAAAAAGTTTATTTATAAAATACTGACAGTTTGACAGGACATGAGACTTCTCGTGGTATATATTTCCAACCGATTTCCTTCTTACCTTCCGTTTAAAAAATAAACCTGCTAACGAGCTATATGACATATAGATATATATATATTTTTTTTCTTCTTACAGATAGACACCTGCCATAATGAATACTCTCCCCATAATTTTTCGTTATAGCTTTTAAATCAAAAAAATAAAGATTTGTGTTGAGTTTTTGCTTTTGGAGTCTGTGTGGGTGGAGAAAGGTAACACATTTAAACGCTTTTGGTTATTCTTACGGAAACGAAGAGAAGGGGAGGTGGTCCCAAGGTGTCACCTGTGCCCAGGGTGGTGGTCAGGGGTGCTGTGTGCGCGCTCGGCCCTGTCCCGGACCACACAGGCGCTGGGGAACGCGGGCGGCTGCTCAGATGGTCTTGCTCCTCCGCCTCCTGCCCACGGGCCCCTCACCCAGCCTAGGCACCGTCACACAAGCACTCTGGGAAGGTGAGGGACGCCTCTGCCCAGCCAGAGTGACACGGTGACGAGGAGGCTCTGGCACCTTTAGAAGCACTGCCCAGGGAGGTGTGGGCAGCAACAGAAGGCCTCAAGGCAGCGTGCGCTGGGCGGGGCAGCCCCTGCCCTGTCCTTGTTTCCTCTGAACCGGGCAGTGTCAGGTTTGGGGTGGGGGTCGGTGGGGGAGGGGCGGGGGGGCAGCCTGGGGCTGCCAACTCCCTGGAGCCCTAGGAGGAAGGTGCTTCCGGAGCCCGTGGCATCTTTTTGGTTTGTCTTGGCAGTCTGGGTGGGCAGCTGCCCCCCAACTCTGGAGGCACAGCCAGGTGGGGGGAGAGCAGCCCTGGTGTGCCCGGCCTGGGCTCCTGGGTGCAACACCGGGAGATTTCCCTGGGGCAGGGCGAGGCGATGCCAAGGCGGCCAGGTGTGTCCTGGCGTGAACCTGGCTGTGGCGGAGTCACACGAGCAGGGGCCCTGGCACCATTGGCTCAGGAAATCAAAGGCCAAGAAGGCTCCCTGTTTACCCATGGGCAGTGCCCACCGCCCCTTTCTAGTGTGGCCAGGTGTCCGGGAGGAGTGTCCGGGAGGAGGGTTGGGAGCCTCCACTGCCCCAACAGATATGTAAACAAGGGCAAAGAGATGTCTTCCTAAAAATTCCAGAGTCCCACAGCTGGAGACCCGGGCTGGGCATGTGGCTGGGGCGGCTCAGGCAGATGGGTGGGCATTGACTTAAGGGCGGGACTTGTACCTTGGGCCCAGCCTGACCTCATGGGCTCGCCTAAGAGTTCTGCTTTGCACAGAGCCCTTACCCTCTCAGACCACAGATCCCAGCCACACCCCAGGTGCAAGTGACTCAGGCCACCCGTGCCTCACGGGGAGACACCGCTTACATCAGATGGGGCTGCAAGAGCCTCTTTGCTAACACACATGCATGTGTGTGTTCTGTGCATATCTGTGTGTGCATGTATGCGTTGGCATGGTGCGAACGCGCGTGTGGGGAGAGGGAGAAGGAATATCTTAGTGCACCAGGTGATTCATTAAAGGCAAAGGAAAATTGGCCTCATGTGCAATTTATACACACATACACAATGTTTTTACTCACCCTTGCTTCCTCCCCCCCAAAAAAAATCCCTCACTGGGCTGGGATAAAATAATCCCCTAATGCAAACTGGGAACTTCCTTAAAGGGTTAAACGCTCAGCAGACAGGGAAAAGGGTGAAGTTGTTAACAAAACAAAAGCTGAGAGGAGGAAAGAAAGCGCAGCAGCGTGCTCACAGGTGGGCAGCTGCAGATGTGCTGCTATGGAGACGCCAGATGCTGCAGAGGGGCGGGGTGGGGGCTGGGGGGTTGCGGGTGGGGGCGGGGTGTCCAGCTGACAAGTCCAGGGAGGCCCTGAGCACCGTATTTCCTGGAGGAGCAAAACCACAGCCCTTTGTCCTCCACTGGGGGAGAGCTTCCCGTCCAAGACCCCCTGCATGGAGAAACAGCCAACTGGCCTCTAGAGCGGGGTCAGCCTGTCTGCGGAGCCGCCTTCCAACATCTCCCCATTCATGTTTCCCGGGGGTCAGGTGTGCTGGGAACAGCCCACGGCTGGGAGCACCCTTTCCTTGGGCCCAGCCCCTGACCCCCTCCCCAGTCGCCATGAGCACAGCGACTGATCGGGGGCTGGTGGCCGGGTGTGTGTGCGTGTATGTGCATGTGGAGATACAGGCTCTCTCTTCCCTTGGTCTGCTTCTGGAATCTCCCACTCAGGCCTCCCCTGACTCTCCTCACCCACAAAGCAGGGGGTCACCTCCTCTCCTCGGGGCCAGGAGGGCCTGTGCCCGGCATCCCCAGGGAGCCCTGCGACTCCCACTGTCCCCAGTGGTTGCGGGGAGCCTCAGGCCAGCTTCCCAGGGCTGGCCAGGGTTGCACAGGGGCCTCGGACCGCCCGGGGGGATCGGACGGAAAGGCTCCTCCCCCAACCCTTATGTCTGCAAGTACCAAGTGGATGGGAAGATCCAGGCCACCAGAAGTGGCTTTTTAAAGAACATTCCCTGGAGCCGACTGTGTGTGTCAAAGCTTTCCCTCCCATCGGCTATTCTTGTCCCTTGGTCCCATCTGACCTGCCCCTGCTGGCCGGCCTGGCTGCGCATCTCGAACGCCGTGTCCAGTTGGGACTGGGCTTCCTGACCGGCCCCTCCTGCGCCCACAGCCCTGTCCAGGCTGGGTACGGCCTGGGAGGCGTTCCTGGGGGTTGGAGCGTTTTTTGACTCTTTGTAAACTGGGGACTAGGCAGACGGGGCAAACTCTGGGTGCTCCAGGCTCTGCACCGGGGACGTGGGCCGCCCCCGGGCTCCTGTGCCTCTGTGCTTAGGAGGCTGTGGGTTCAGAGCTCGAGGGACACAGTGTGCTGTGTGCCTAGGAGGACCCAGAGCGGATTCTTCTGGAGAAGGTCCTCAGACCCTTCCCCGTGCAAATGCGTAGGAAGGGTGTGTGCGTGCGTGCACATGTGCGTGTGTGTGTATTCGTGCCTGCGTGCTGGCAGGAAGGTACCTATCCAGGGGACAGTGATGTCTGCCCAGATGGAGGCTCCTCACCCCACCGGGCTCCCCACCGAGGCCAGCTGAACTTCCTTGCTTTAGCAGTTGCCATGTCCCTCCTCCTTTAAGCATGGGGGAGGTGGTGCCTGGGTTGGAAGAAAGAGAACAGTCACAGCTTCACCCTTATCTTCCTGACTGCCCGCCATGCGTCACACCCGGTGTCGCACAACGTCCAAGCCCCCCGGACTTCACCTCTCCTTGTCCGTGCTCAGGAAAGTGAACTCCAGCAAAAGGAGGCAGGGTTCAGCTGGGGGGACTCTCCCCCAGCCCTCGGGCCCTCTTCCTTGCATTCTTAGTTTTTTAAAAAATATGCAGGAGCAGGGAAGTAGCTAAGCAAATTCTCACCCTTTAGGTTTTTTTTTTTTGTTGTTGTTGTTGTTTCCTTTTTCTAAATAAACCGAATGCTCGGTGGAGGAGCTGAGCCAGGGAGGAGGGCGGCAGAGGCGGCCGAGGCAGGGCAGGTGTTTGGGCGAGGCCGGCTGAGGCTGCCAGGGAGCGAGAGGGGAGCACAGAGACAAGGCAGGCCCTGCCTCGGGGGACACCTGTCCCTTCTGCAGAGGAGCCACCAGCAGCGGCCCGGAAGGAGGGCAGCTGGCTGGACATCCAGAAGCTTCTTCCTCCCTCACCCCTGCCGGCCCGAGAGGCCTCCAGTCCTCTGCCTCCTCTCCGCCTCTCTCCGGGGGCCCAACCCACTCTGCGTCCCCTGCAGCGGGGACATGGCCACTTGCCCAGCTCCCTGTGATTCCCGGAGGGGCAGGGGGCCCCACGCTCTTGCATGGAAGAGTCGCCGGCCGCACGCGTCCTTCCTGGTTTCCTCGCGCCCTTCTCAACGCCGGCTTGGCTGGCCCTGGAATCTCCGCGCAAAACAAACCCGGGAGGTGAAAAGTTGACTTGGTTTCTTGGTGTTCCTGTTTTCTGGCAGGCGGTGGGAGCAGGGGTGGAAGAGGAGTTCGGGGCCATGTTTCTTTCTCTTCCCCCTTCCGTGCTGTCAAACGAACGACGAAAACCCTGCGATGGGAGCCCGGGAGCCAGGAGCGAGGCTGCTGGGGGGCCGGTAGAGGGTGCTCTGCTGACTCGGGGGGTTCGGGGGGTTTTGGGGCGTTGGAGTCCGGCTGGCCTTGGGCCGGAAGAGGCTGCCCTGCTGGGTGCTGTTGCTGTTGGCGATGGTGGCGTGGTCCGGCTCGCCCGAGTCGCTCTCCGTGTAGCTGTACGCCTGGGCCCGCGAGATGCCCTTCTGCTGCCGCCGCCACGAGTTGTAGTACGTGGGGTCGCTGATGTAGTGGTTGACGAAAGAGTGGGCCTTCTGGTGGCTCGAGTCGACCTCGTACTCACTGTCGCTTCCCTGGGGGGACAGAGAATCCGGGTACGTCAGTGGCCCCACGGGGACAGGTCGCCGTGGTCAGGGCTGGAGGCCCAGAGCACCCTGGCTCGAATCCCTGCTCTGACTTGGGCTGTGGCCGTCCCCGCCCCCTCCCTGCCAGGGGGGGATGGGCCCCCTTTTATGCCTGCTCCCCACGGCACTCGGACCAAGACTTATAGTCGGGTGTGATCGCTTCCATCCAGGGCACTCGGAGACGCATAGGTCGGAATGTGATCCAGCCTCTGTACCCAAGATTAGGGCACATCGGGACTACTATAGGTTGTGAAGTTCGGTCTCCGCCACCAACGGCACGAGGCGGGACCCTAAGATTCTAGTCGGTGTGAGCCTCTTCTACCCCTACCGTCTGTAACTTAAGGTTGGTGTTGAATGCGAGCTCTTACCCCTTGATAACACTGGCATCAAATCCGAAGGGAACATACTTAGATCGAGTGTCTAATCGCTCCTACCCATCAAGTATAACTATCATTCAAACACTCTAGCTATACAAATTATCATCACGTATGGCACTCGGACGTAACTGTGGTGTGATCGCTCTCCCAGGGCACTCGGGACTTAGGTTGGGTGTGATCGTTCACCGGCACTCGGTGACTAGGGTCAGGAATGACATGTCTCCCCAAACGGCACTCGGGACATAGTGTCGGCTTGTGTTAATCGACCTTCCTGACCTAGCACACTCTACCTGCAGCAATCTACGTGAAGATGACGATAGGTTCATTTGATATATACGCTCCTCCCACAGGCACTCCGAAAGTTAAGTATCAGTGTGATCGCACCTTCCCCCCAGCAGCAGGCTACAGAACGACTCTAGGTTGGATGTAAATCACACCAAACTTTCACCTCCTCAACGGCAACTCATTCTAGTGAAACTACTAGGTTTAGGTAGACAGTGATCGTTCCTCCCCTATACGTAGGCATATTATATGCTATACGAGGACGTAGGTGGTTGATCGCATCTTCACCACCAACACAAAAGCTAACTCGGGACTACAAAATAAGAGTATGAGCTGATTCTCTCTCTCCATCATATGGCAACAAGACAGCGGTGAAGTCGTAGATCCGGTTATACATGTCGGTGCTTCCATACGAAGCGATCAGGATTAGGTTGGTGTGATACTGGTCTCCATGGCACTCGGGACTTAGTCGGTGTGATCGCTCTCCACGGCACTCGGGACGTAGGCGTGTGATCGCTCCCTCACGGCACTTCGCGATTAGGTCGCTGTGATCGCTCTACGCACTGGACGTAGGTCGGTGTGATCGTCGAGCATGGACTTAGTTGTGTGAGTCACGGCACTCGGGACTTAAGGTAGGGTGTGACTCGCTCCTCCCCCGGCACTCGGGACTTAGGTTGTGTGATTGCTCTCCACGGCACCGGACTTTAGTTGTGTGATCGCTCTCCACGGCTCGACTTAGGTCGTGTGATCGTTAGAGACTAGGTCGCTGTGATTCGCTCCTCCCACCGGCACCAAGGACTTAGTCGGTGTGATCGCTCCTCCCCCGGCACGCAGGACTTAGGTCGGTGTACGCCTACCGCACGGCACTCCGATTAGTTGGTGTGATCGCCCTCACGGCACCGGGACTAGGTCGGTGTGATCGCTCCCACGGCACGCGGCTTAGTCGTGTGATCGTCCTCCCCACGGCAGCAGGACTTAGTCGTGTGATCGCTCCTCCCAGCGGCACGCAGGACTTAGGTCGATGTGATCGCTCCTCGCACTCGGAGACTTAGGTTGATGTGATGCTCCTCCCCACGCAACTCGGATTAGTTGGTGTGATCGCTCCTCCCACGGCACGCGGGACTTAGGTCGGTGTGATCGCTCCTCCACGGCACTCGGACTTAGGTCGGTGTGATCGCTCTCCACGCACTCGGGAAGGTGGTGTGGATGCTCTCCCCCACGGCACGCGGGATTGTCGGTGTGATGCTCCTCCCCACGGCACGCGGAGATTAGTGGGTGTGATGCTCCTACGCATCGCAGATTTAGGTGGTGTGAGTCTCCCCAACGGCACGCAGGATAGTCGTGTATCGCTCCTCCCACGGCACCAGGATTAGGTCGGTGCTGATCTCTCCAGCACGCAGGACGTAGGTTTGTGTATCGTTCCCTACGGCACGCAGGACTTAGGTGGTGGTGATCGTCTCCCCAGGTCGGGACTTAGGTCGGTGTGGATCACTCCTCCCATGATAAATTCACGGCACTCGGGACGAATAGGTTGTGGTTATCGCTCTCGCCCACGCACCGGGACTTAGTCGGTGTGATCGCGTCCTCCCCTACGGCACTCGGACTTAGGTTGGTGTGATCGCTCTCACGGCGACTGGGACTTAGGTCGGTGTGATCGCTCCTCCCCACGCACCGGGACTTAGGTAGGGTGATCGCTCCTCCCACCGCACTCGGATTAGGTCGGTGTGATCGTTCCCCACGGCACTTCGGGACTTAGGTCGGTGTATCGCTCCTCCCCACGGCACTCGGGACTTAGTCGGTGTGATCGCTCCCCCAGGCATCGACTTACGGTTGTGTGATCGCTCCTCCCCACGGCACTCGGGACTTAGGTCGGTGTTCTCCTCCCACGGCATTCGGGACGTAGGTTGGTGTGATCGTCTCCCACGGCACTCGGACCTAGGTCGGGTGATCGCTCCCTCCCCACGGCACTCAGGACTTAGTAGGTGTTGATCGCTCTCCCCACGGCACTCGGACTTAGGTCGTGTGGATCGCTCCCTCCCACGGCACTCGGGATCTTAGGTCGGTGTGATCGCTCCTCCCCCACGGCACGCGGGACTAGGTCGGTGTGATCACTCTCACGGCACGCGGGACGTAGGTTGGTGGTGATCGCTCTCCACGGCACTCGGGACTAGGTTGTTGTGATCGCTCCTCCCCACGGCAATGGACTTAGGTTGTGTGTCCGCTCCTCCCACGGCATCGGGACTTAGGTCGGTGTGATCGCTCCTCACGCACTCGGACTTTAGGTCGGTGTGATCGCTCTCCCAAGCAGCGGGAACTAGGTCGGTGGATCGCTTCCTCCACGGCACCGGGATTAGGTGGGTGTGATCGTCCTCCCCACCAGGCACTGGACTTAGGTGGTTGATCGCCTCCTCCCACCGGCACTCGGGACTTTAGGTCGGTGTGATCGCTCTCCCCACGGCACGCAGGATCTTAGGTCCGGTGTGATTGATCCTCCCCGACGGCAACGCATGACTTAGTCGGTGTGATCGCTCCTCCCCACGGCATCGGGACTTAGGTTTGGTGGTGATCGCTCCTCCCCACGGCATCGGGACTTAGGTTGGTGTGATGCTCCTCCCAGGGCACGCGGGACTTAGGTCGGTGTGATCGCTCTCCCCCACGGCACTCGGACTTAGGTCGGTGTGATCGCTCCTCCCACGGCACTCGGACTTTAGTGGTGTGATCGCTCCTCCCCACCATCGGACGTAGGGTTGGATGTGATCGCTCTCCCCCCGACCATCGGGACGTAAGGTTGGTGTGATCGTCATCCTCCCACGGGCACTCGGGACTGTAGGTTGGTGTGATGCTCCTCCCCACGGACCGGGACTTAGGTCGGGTGATCGCTCCTCCCCACGCACTCGGACTAGGTCGGTGTGATCGCTCTCCCCCACGGCACGTGGGACTTAGGTTTGGTGTGATCGCTCCTCCCCACGCACTCGGGATTAGGTTCGGTGTGATCGCTCCTCCCCCACGGCAAGTGGGACTTAGGTTGGTGTGAATCGCTCTCCCACGGCAACTCGGGACTAGGTAAGGTGTTGAATCACTCTCCCCACGGCACTCGGGACGTAGGTTGGTGTATCGCTCTCCCACGCACTCGGGACGTAGGTCGGTGTGATCGCTCCTCCCACGGCATCCCGGGATTAGGTTGTGGGATTGCTCCTCACCACGGCACTCGGGACTTAGGTGGTGTGATCGCTCTCCCCCACGGCAACGCGACTAGGTCGGTGTGATCGCTCTCCACGGCACTCGGCGACGTTTTAGGGGGGGGGTTTAGGTGTGATCGCTCCTCCCGCGGCATGAGACGTAGGTTGGGTGATCGTCACGCACTGGATTAGTTGGTGTGATGCTCCTCCAACGCACTCGGACTTAGGTCAGTGTGATCGCTCTGCCCACGGCACTCGGACTTAGTCGTGTGATGCCCTCCACAGCAACTCGGGACCTTTAGTTGGTGTGATCGCTCACCGGCACGCGGGACTAGGTTTGTGATCGCTCTCCCCAACGGCACTCGGACGTAGGTTTGGTGTGATCGCTCCCTCCCCAGGCACGCGGACTTTAGGTCGGTGTGATCGCTCTCCCCCAACGGCACTCGGGATTAGGTCGGTGTGATCGCTCCTCCCCACGGCACTCGGACGTAGGTCTGGTGTGATCGCTCCTCCCCCAGGCACGCAGGGACTTAGTCGGTGTGATGCTCCCCCAGGGCAAACGGAGGTAGCCGGCTGGATGCTCCCGGGCAACGGGAGGTGGTCGGTGTGACTCATAACTGCCCAGGCAGGGCCATCAGCAGGGAAGGCGGAAGCTGTGGGGTCCTCGAGCTCGTTTCACTGATGTGCGCCGCTAAATCAGTGCAATTCCTTCCAAGAGAGTTCTGAGGGCTCCATCTGTTGTCTTATTAATTCTCAAAAGCTGGGAGCTCCGGGTGGGGGAAGGGGGGTGGTGTGTGATAATTTTTAGCCCAGGATTCGGATTTTCTCGCACCGGGGGGGCGGCTGATTGACTCTTGTGCAGGCCACGTCCCCACGGCAGATGGAAGCCTGTGCTTAGGACACCAAAGTACCAAAAGAATTATTAGAATAATTAACATTTTATATTCTCGCCCAAAAGCTTCAAGGTCAATCATGCTGAAAATTCAGACTTCTGTTGATATTTTCTCATGCCTTATTTCAAACGAGTGTTGCTTTTATTTCGGAAAGCACATGGGCGGGCAGCAGCCCTTTGTCACTGACGGGGTCTCTAAAGCCCTCATTCCGGTGCCGG